ATCAACCTTCAGTTTTACACAAGAAGTTGGGGGTTAAGACATTGCCATTAATCTTCAAAAATATCTTTTCAGACTACAGTTGAAAAAGTCAGTATATATATGCATCAAAGTACAAAAAATTGTTCCCTCTGCTCCCAAGTTGGACCTTAATATTATGCCAGAAGAACACAGTACTTTCTATTTGAATCATCACTTATACAAATGCCTCATTTAAAAACACAGAAGAGATTTCACATTTAATTCTTAGACTGATAAGACCACCCATGCAAATTTATAGATTTTATAAAATGGTCCAATTAATATATGAGAGGCATCATTCACTTACTGAATTGTGCAACAGGAAACATTTAGCCCTGTATATTGTGTGCCCTTCTCTATCATCCTTTTCTAATTAGAGAGTTTGGGTGTGGTGGAAGGTTCCAGCAGACCTTGAGAAGTCTCTGGGCCTTTGGAGTTGGTCCTTCCCCATGGTACCACAGTTCAGCTTCCTGGCAGAAGTGCTTAGTTTCTTATTAAGGTTAAATCTGAACTGAGTTAAACAACCTTTGTATTACTGTAACTAATTTTTGATGCCAAAGCATGATACTGAAGATTTTTTTCCTTTTTATTTAACTTCAACTTGCTTTCATTGACTTAAATGTGGAAGAAAACAGCTATGAATGATGTAGTAAAATTTTAAGTCTTGAGAATTAGTAAATAATGTATGTTTTCACTTTGTTGATTTCTGTGGGGAAAAAACCCCATTGCCTGCTTACACCTGATTGCACTTGTCTTTTCAAAATGGTTGTTTTCACTTGAGTTCTGTTCATTTTGTGATTTAATGGCATTGAAATAGATCACTCAAGCATTGATGTATTCATTTTTATCATATTTACATCAGCCACAGTTCCCATTTCAGTAGAAATTTGGTTTTTCTGCCTGAATGCTGCTTTCCTCAGCAAGGACTGGTATCACCCTCGTGCTTCCACATCACAGTTTCTCAGTGTGTCTCTGAACATCTGCTCTTAGGAGAAGTGAAAATAAATGTCTTGGTTCTTATTATAGCTCATAAGAAAACTGAACTTTAAGAAAATAGTTCTTCTTCTGGGGCTTCTTAATACTCAACTTCCCAGTATTCTGCCGTAGTCTAATTTAATTACAAATGAAACTAAGGATCCCTGTCTTTCCTGTATAGGAAAGGTTTACCATGTTTGACATAGTTACTTGTGTGTACAGGAACTCCTTTTTTTGTGTGATAAGTTTAATAGGGAAATAATAAACTTTACTGCAGAACTGTGATGTATACTAATCTGACTTTTGAAATTTGCAGATTAAGGGTTTTTTCCTTCATAATTTTAGTAGCAGTGGAAATGAGAAATAAGTCTGTTTATATTGACCACAGTTGCCGCCCATGTTTTCTTACATATTTGCTTAATGACACCCATGCTACACTGAAATAATCTTCAGAGATGATCCAGACTCAATGTGCAAGACTGGCATAATGTTGTCAACCTCATCCTCAAAAGATGTCCTGTGCTAAATGGAGTAGGTCAGGTAAAATAAACTGTGGCAGAAGTAGGGGATGGGATGTTTTAGGTACTGTATAAAATTTGCACAGTTATCTAATGTTGTTTGTGCCTACAGGAACCAGATTTATCGTTTCAATAGTGATGGAAATCCCTGGACTTTGGCCATTTGAATAAATAAAACGGAGCCAGATGTGGTTCACTTTCTTGTGCCCTGTGATGTACTTAATCTATAAACACAGCACTTGGTCTGCAAGAGACACCAAGGACAAAAGAGTGATGGAGATCAGAAGGAAAAGATGAAGAGCACTCCTGGATGGATGTGGGAAGGAAAAGATCTGCACTCCAACCTACCCAGCCAGTGCTGCTGTACAGCCCTGCAGAGACAGCACTGGGCAGTGCTGTGCACAGGTTTTGTTGGCGTCTCAGGAAGAACTCAGTTCTGATGACGTGGCACCAGCTTTGTGCCAGCTTGGCCTCGTTACCTTCCTTCCACCAGGCAGCACAGACTCAAGGCTCTGCTGTGTGAGGAGCTCTTGGGCTTGCAGGATCTTCCACAGTGTTGAATCCAGTAACTTTTGAGATCATTTTACTGGTGGGAGGAACTGAGCTTGTGGAAGCAGAAAGATTGCAAGAAATCACCAAGTTCTAGGAGCTAAAAGGTTTTTGAACATCATTGCATGGATGCAGTTCTCTCTGTCTGTTTCTGATCTCTCTTTCTTTTCCCAGAACAATTGTAACAGAAGCATTTTATTTATGGAAGCATTTTGCAGGAGGTTCCCCAAAGTATGAATGATTTCATTGAAATCACTAGGAAAAAAAGAAGCTGTTTCATGGGTTGCACCAGGACACCTATTCTGTGAGTTAGCAGGCTTACTGTGAGTGAGAATCAGCTTGCAGTGCCTACATGAGAATTAACCTTGGTTCTGCTAACACCATGAAAATCTACTCTGAGTCCTGGAATCAATTTTGTCATTTCACTTGTCTATCAAAATACCTTTTCCTTTTGTTTTTAACGGCTGCATGCAGTAATTACAGAGTCACATTTCCATCTCTTTCTTCTCCCCACCCCACTCTCTCCAATAAGGAATCATTTGCACAACTTGAAGATAATTGTTTTTTGAGAATGTTACCAACATAACCTAAAAATCGGTTGAGTTTCACTGCAGTCAGAAAGTTGTACATCCTCTTTTGTATCCAAATCCTCAGAGCCTTAGGGGAAAAAGCCTTTGAAGTGAAATGTAAAAAGAATGTTAATGTTTTATGCGGAAAGACAGAATTTGGAGGGGATGAGAAAGAGGAGAGAGAAACAAGTATTTTGTGTTTCTTGCAATTGCTCTGATGCCAAATGTGGCACATAAATTCGGTCTTTCCTGATCACCTTTGTATCACCCCACTGGTTTCAGCGTCTCATGTCTTGTGTTGTCTCCAGGTGCTGCCGTAGTGTTAGTGCTGTGGAGCACTTGGATTCCTACCCAGTGTGCACGTGGAGAGGTGGAGATGTAAAATATTGCCCAGCTGTACAGACCAAAGCCTTGTGAGACAGTGAATCCTCCTGATAAATCCTGAGTTTTTCAGAAAAGTCTGCTTCTTTCCTTCCATTGTGGGATGTTTTGATGATTGCCTTGTGTCTAAATATTTTTATGCTCAGCCAGTAATGGCCCAGCTTTCATTTTGCCTTGTTTGTATTTAAAGAATTTCTGATTTTTTACTTCTCTTAAATAGACTGGGAAAAATAGGTGTTTCTGTAGTTTCTGTGTGAAAGGCGTTTTATTTTCTGTTCTGCTAGTTGTTTGGTTTTGCTCTGCAGTGTTTCATCATCTGTCATTCCTTGAGGTAGAGGTGATGAGCAACTCCCCATCCCTGTTGATGGGAATGGAGAATGCTTTGCTTTCCTGGTAATATTGGTGCCATATTACCAGGACATTGTATTGATTTGCTTGACTGCTGGTGTGTGATGCGTGACAGCAAGAGAAATGGAACTTTCTGAACGTGGAGTAAATGGTGCTTCTGATGATATAGAACTGATTGAGGGAAAAGCAATCAATCACATTCTCTCTGCTGGTACCAGTGCTACCTTCAATTTAATAGATAGTAAACCAACAGTTGTTTTACAGTTTAAATCAGAGTGTCCTGTGCTTAACTCAGATTCTTGCAAAAATGACTTGGAGAATTTTTGGGTTTGTACTTTGTTTGCTTTGTACTTTACCAACATGTGATCTGATAATTTAGAAATATTGAGCTGACATTCACTAATTCTTCTTTTTTCTTGCCAAAGAGCCACAGATTATTTTTTTCTAGATTGTTGTTCATCATTCTAGAATGATGTGCAGAAACAGTTTTATAGATTCTATGCATAATGCATTATTCCTTGAAACTAAGTGGTATTTGAGCACTCTAAAATGGTGTTTAGTGTATAATTTTGTCCTTTGTGGGTGAGAAATTAAAATCATGGGTTTATATATATGTATATGTAATTTTATTGTTTCAGTTTCCAAAAAAGTCACAGTCATTATTTGATGTTTGAATTATTTTTATTTACAATTTTCAATGACAGAAGTCTTTAGAAGGCTACGAACATTAATGAATATCTTATTTCCTGGTTTTGCAATAGATTTATTTCTGATGTCTGTCCACCAGCTCTGGAGTGTGCAAGTTGGCTCAGCTGCCAGCTGGTCTGGCAAACCCAGATTCGTATTTCATGCATATGTTTTGTGACGGTGTGAACATGTGTTCTGGGGTGGTTTTTGGGTGGGTTTTTTTTTGGTTGGTGGTTTCTTGTGGGTGTTTTCTTTGCCAATGATGGGTATTGCTGCATCTGCTCTAGTTGCTTCTTACAAGGCCTCTTCCAAGCCTCGCTGAATGTGGCTGTCTTTTATTCCATTCAAGCCATTTTAGAAAAAGGATTATGCTGTTTTTACAAGTAAAAACTAAATGGGTTTGAACTAGAGTTTGTCCTCTTCCTTCACAGTCCAGTTACAAACCACAGAGCACACAGAACCAACTGTATGTTGAATTATCACTTGTATTGCTGTCACTGTCCTCTCTCCTATGCTGACCATGGTCCACAAGGTAGAAAAACATCCAGGTCACCAGGAGGAAATGATTCTGTTACCAGTGCCCAGGGACAGAAACTGCAGCAAACTCCTGCTGTTCTATCCAGCCTTGGGATCAGAAGTTACTTTAAACTGAACGTACAGTTGCTATCTAGAGATGGGATGTGTGTAGTTTTAATTTGGTTTTAAAGGTTTGTTTTATTGCTATATTCATGTAATATGTCTTAAAAAAAATACAAACCTGACAAATATTAAAATACACTAAGATTGCCTTTTGAAATTAGAATTATCTGTGTCTGTATGTTTTTTACATATTGTGTTATAAGTGGTTTAATTTTTGAAATGCATTTGAAGTTATGTTCGAGTGAATTGTCTGTGGACTGTTCTCTGTGGTGTCAGAGGAGATGTGGGTGTTAATTGTTTGCTCCTGTTTTTCTAGATGGCTATACCACAGATGACATCGAGTTTTACTGGCGTGGGGGTGATAATGCTGTCACAGGAGTGACCAAGATCGAGCTGCCACAGTTCTCCATTGTAGACTACAAGCTTATCACCAAGAATGTTGTTTTCTCTACAGGTTTGTGGAGGGGAAGCTAAAAGGGGAATTCACTGGGAAGACTTTTAGAAATGGGTTAATTCACAATATGCAGTTCAGGATCTGAGCAAAAATTATAGAAACAGGAGTAAATTAGAGCTGCAAGTGTGAATTTTGAAGGGGGAAGGTTTTTTACGGCTCTCCCGGTGTACAGGGCATCATTCATTCACCTTTGCAGAGGGGACAGCCATCTGTCATGTTAAGGCTCATCAAATGAGCTGTATTCTCTGTTTTCCTGTGAAATTGGATTAAACCACTTACACACCTCAGTGTGTCAGTATGGCCATAAACCCGGCCAGTAACAACCCAGTCTGGAGGAAATTTAGGAACCTTTTCCTCCCTGTTTCTAGATGTTCCTTTTGCCAAACTGTGGATGTATTAGGCTAATTGTTTTGTCTTCTGTGTAAAACCTTCAAAATCCTTGTTCCACAGGATTTTCAGTTTAGCCTTTTCTGGCAAGTGTATGAGTTTTTGAGGGCTGAAAAGATGCTGTCTTAGGAGAAGGAGAAAATCAGATTGGACCTTAAATTGTTCAAGAGAGGCATGAGTTGGGTTGGGCTCTTACCTACTTGGGAAACCTGTAGGTGTGTTTAACAAATTATCTTCAAAATTCAGATATGGGTAGAAATCATCTTTGAAGGGACTGTAGGAAGATGGTCCATCCCAAATTCTTCAAAACCAAGCAGAAATGGGACTTGAATAATGATTTCTAGGCACCCATTTCAACAAGTGTTTCATACAGTAAATTACTTGTGGTATCCAGAGACAACAGGTGTTGAATTTTTGGAGAGAAGAGAATGAGGGTTGAACTGAAGTGGGCACACCACAGTCTGCCAGGGAAGAGGCATTTCTGTGCTCTCTTGCTCTGACAGATTTTGGCTGTTGGTTGTTGAATGTTATGATACCAGCAGATATGCACCTAAAGCATCCTTGTACCCTTAGAATAAAAGATTCTTTAATCCCAATTCTTGCTAGAAATTCTGCAACTGATAACCCTGGTTCTTTCAGCTCTCAGTGTGCCTTATGTTGCATGAAACAATAAAACCAAAATGACAGAAAAATGTTTTTAGGCTTTATACAAGTAAATTACAGCCGTGCCAAATATTCTCTTTTAGGTGCCTACCCAAGGCTGTCTCTCAGCTTTAAACTTAAGAGAAACATTGGCTACTTCATTCTGCAGACCTACATGCCTTCTATTCTGATCACTATCCTGTCCTGGGTTTCCTTCTGGATTAATTATGATGCTTCAGCTGCAAGAGTTGCTTTAGGTAGGCATTTTTACACATCTCATGCAGTGTGCATTAGCTGAGTGTTTATCTAGCTTCTGGCTTAGCGGATAGTGCATGATCTGAAAAAAAAAAACCTGTTAGATATTTTATGTCTTGCTCCTTAAACTTTTGATCGTTTGAATCAGCATATAATCATCCCAATTTAAATAAAAATTAAAGACATTTCATGTCTGAGTGAACTAACTGTATAATCACTGTAACCAGAATTAGCCCAAGTGTCTCAGCATTTTCTGTTGTTCTTTTATTACTTGTTTCACCTCCAAAGACAGTGCACCTAATTTGCTTTTGCCTATGACAGGCCAGAACACAGCATTCAGCACTGTGTTATGGATTATAAATTATGAATTTTCCTTTCAGGTACGAATTAAATAAGGTTTTACTAAGGTTCTGTAGCTCACTGAGGGATGAAGCTGCACCTCAAATACTGTGTCCAGTTCTGGGCCCCTCAAGACTGCAAAAAAGACATTGAGGGGCTGGAGCAGGTCCAGAGAAGGGAACAGAGCTGGGCTAAAGGTTGGACTCAGTGATCTTAAAGGTCTTTTCCAACCTAAATGATTCTATGATTCTGTGATTATTTTTTTCCATACTGTTACCTTACATTCCAAAGGCAAAACTGTTCCCTGATTAATCTCTAGAGTACTCTCGTATCTCATCACTACTCCCATGTTTATACCCTCATCAGAGGATCCAAGCATGTTGCAAAAATAAATGTCTATATCTATTGCCAAATCAGTATAAATCAGGCTGATTCCTGCCAGTACAGATCTTGTAAAGCTAAAATAAGTAAATCCACATAAAACATGCTATTGAGAATCTGACACTTTAACCTTAGAGAATACTGCCTGAGCTTTACCAAACCTTTCTGGGTAGCATTTTCCCTTCAGAGTTTGAGACTGCAGATATCCTGAAAATGCCTGAGTAAAGCAAGATAACAGTAACTATAGCCTGCTTATTTAAAACTGAGACTCATTACAGAAGGTTGCTGGAACCCTATTGCAGAAGGCCACCAAATTTGTCAGGCATAATTTGCCCTTAGTGCAGCCGTGTTGGACTTGTTCAGCCTGGAGCAGAGAAGGTTCCAGGGAGACCTCAGAGCACCTTCCAGTGCCTAAGGGGGCTACAAGAGAGCTGGAAAGGGACTTTTTACACAGGCATGGAGTGACAGGACAAGGGAGAATGGCTTTAAACGGACAGAGGGCAGGGTTAGATCAGATCTTAGGAAGAAATTCTTCTTCCCTGTGAGGGTGGTGAGACACTGGAACACATTGCCAGGTGTTCTGGCTGCCCCATCCATGGAACTGTTCAAAACCAGGGTGGATGGAGTTACGAGCAACCTGAAGACTCCCTGCCCATGGCAAGGGATTTGGAACGAGATGGTTTTAAAAGTTCCTTCCAACCCAAACCTTTCTATGATTCTATGAGTAAGGAGAGAGGTTTGAGATATATTTTCTCCACCAGGAGAAAAAAAAATATTTTTTTTCAACTCTAGCATTTGAATATTATGAACTACTATGCTAGAAAGTTAAAATTATTTCAATCACTAGACTTGTTAATTCTTTTTTCCAGGAATCACAACTGTGCTCACAATGACAACAATTAACACCCATCTCCGAGAGACTCTTCCCAAAATTCCATATGTGAAAGCCATCGATATGTACCTTATGGGCTGTTTTGTCTTCGTTTTCATGGCTCTGCTGGAGTATGCTTTGGTCAACTACATCTTCTTTGGCAGGGGCCCCCAGCGGCAGAAGAAAGCGGCAGAAAAAGCTGCCAGTGCCAACAACGAGAAGCTGCGGATGGACGTCAACAAGGTAACCTGGCCCTGGGAGGTACTGGGAGCATTTCCTCAGGAAGGCAGACCCTCACTGCTGCCAGACAGGGCTTTAAGTGTAATTTCTTTAGAAAATGGGTGGAATTGTGATGATCTTGTCTTAGTCTGCAGAGCAGCGTTTTAGTCACCTCAGCAGTGAACGCTGCCCTCTAGCATGGAAGGCTGAGGGACTTGTTTCTAAAGCTTTACTGAGAGATGTTTTCTTAGTCAGGATGGAGAGTTGAATATATCTGTTTCCAAAGGAAAAAATCCAAAATGATGGCTGTAGCTGATATTCGAGTAAGAGCTGTATGGAACATTGGAACTAAAACCTAAATTTAACCTGCTTTCATAAATCTTTCAGATGAGCTACATAAGAAATATTTGCTACAGAAGTGTTTAAAGCTTGACAGGTTTGCATATTTTCAAGATATAATGACCCAGGATACTATTGACTAAATGATGAACTGCGCAGAAATAAAACATCAACATGCTGTGTACTTAATTTTGAATCTAAAAATGGTCCCCCAGGGAGGGAGAATTAAGGCAGAGAAGACATTTGCCAAGATACACAGTTTGGGAAAAGAATCCATTATGCTTAATGAAAATGGGGCAATTATTATAAAGCATTTGTAATTTGTCACTCTTACCATTTTGGATGAGTTTCACAGTGGCAAATCTGGGCTGAATGCAAAAATGTGCTCAGTGTAAAATGTATAAACTTTCACATACTTGCAAAATTGGGAAGTTAAATAAAGCTAAATTATCTTTGAGGGGGGTTTTGTTGGTTTGGTGGGGTTTGTTTGTTTGTTTGTTTTGTTGGGGGTTTTTTGTGAAGGGAAGCTTTTTGAATTTGTAATTCAGCATGATACTCCAGGGGGAAAAAACCCAAAGAATTAAAAAACAAAACTAAATTAGAAAAAACCAAGGGATTATTTGTGAATTGGAAACATAAGTTTCATACAGCTCTAGTAGTGGAATTTCTCATGTTTTTTCAGAACTACTACACTTCTACACACATAGTGTGCCTGCAGACAGAACATTTTGTTCTGTATTTGCTGGAATAACAAAAACCCATCACATGGTGATAGAACAAATCAGTTTTGTAGGTTATAGGTTATAGCCTTTTAAGATGGAGAGTTATATTGCCATGGCTCAGATCTCGCCCATTTTAAATTGAAAGAGACATGTTTTAATGAGTAGAGTTAAATGGATAATCATTTTGATGTTACGTTAACACAGATCATCTTTTACCTCTAAAGTTCATCTTTTTCTTTCTATTGGTGATTTTTCAGCAATGAAAAAAAAAAAGGTGTGAGTTTTTATTTAATTTATCAAGTTGTGTGGGATCCATGGGTGTCAGAGTGCCACCACTTGCTGGGGTATATTTTTATACACGCTTTCACTTGTGTATTTTTGATGTTCTTATTTATACAATAGATCTTCCTGCCATGTAATAGAATAGTCCAAGTCTAGTGGCAAATGGCTGACCATGAAGTAGAATTTCAAAGCACTAACCAGTGCAGTAATCCAGTGAAGTGAGCAGAGGAATTAATTCCAATAACTGTTGCAGGAATTTGCCTACAGGATTGACACGAAGTGCTCTGGGAACAACTTTATTTAGATTTTTTTGTACTGAGCCTTTTACTTAATATCCTAGGCCAGCACTGTTAACCAGGTGTGGCACTTCTGCCCTGGTACCCAGATACCCTCTGATCTGATAAGCAGGTTTGCAGCCCTTTCAGCAGTGGCAGGGAATCAAACAGGAGAGATCAGAGACCCTCGTCCTGCTGCTCTGGGGAGAGGAGAGGAGCCAACAGCTGCTGTTGTGTCTGACCAGCTGCGAGAAATCAGATTCATGTTTAATGGACCTGAATATTTTATCTATTAAGGGAAGCCAAATATTATATAATTATTTTCATGTATAAGAATTAGAAAGGGGCCTGAACTGCTCAATTTAGTTCTGATGCAGTTGTCCAAAAAAGCTAGAGTATTTTAGAAATGGGACCAAATGAACACTCCATCTGTAATTAGGATCCAGTAGGGAAGGACTAATTTTGCAAGGTATAAGTGTTCTTTTGTGGTTCCACTTGAATCACTACATGCAATATTATGAATTCATCAGAATCAGATACTGTGTGAGAAAAGATTAATGCCATGACTAATAAACTTCAAAAGATGAGGATGAAAACTTCTACACAGTTGTGTTACTGCATTCAGCACAGCCATTGTAAAACGGGGATAAATAGTTCTAGGAAGTGCTGCTCGTGGCATGGTATCTTTGTTTATTCATGATAGACCAGAAAATCTGTAATAGGTTTCTTCAAATTCCAACACCCTTATTTGGTAACAGCCTCTTACAACTTCTCAATCCACAAAAGGTGGTGACAAGAGAAGTGCTGTTCAGTCCTTTCATCCCCAGCAACTTGCAAAATCAAAGGAGAAGTCAATCCATGTTCCCTTTATGGTGTTGCATTCTCTGCCATGGAGAGGCTCCAGGGCAGACACAGGCACTGGTGGTCTCTCTGTTTTTGGTGTTAGCAGAAGGTACTGGAGAGGCTGTGAAACAGTGCAGAAGCACAAGAGAAGCTGGTTTTCCTTAACTGTGATATCTGCTGAATCCACTGGAATCCCTTGGAGATTTGGTGACTCAGGAGAGGAATGTCCTGGTTTTCCATCAGGATGGCTGCAGAGCTTCCCTGTGGCTATTCAGTGTGAAACTGTGGCCAAATCCTTCTTTAGATTTCATATCATATTCATATCAAATGCCAAATATGGGAGTTTTGGGTTTGTTCCGTTTTGTTTTTTTAAAATCATAGACTAGTTTATATTTGAAGGGACCTTTAAAAGTCACCCACTCCACCCCCCCTGCAATGAGCAGGGACATCTTCAAGTAGATCAGGTTGCTCAGAGCACTGTCCAACCTGACCTTGAATGTTTTCCAGGGATGGAGCATCCACCACCTCTCTGGGCAACCTGTGCCAGTGTTTCATCACTCTCATTGTAAAAAAATTATATCTAGTCTGAGTCATCACAGAAGATTATAACTTCATGTACTCCCTCATTTTCAAAGATTGTTGGACCTGTTTGGGGTAAGGGAAAGGAAGAGAAAGAATTGGGCTTCTATCTTGATTTGCTTCTTGGATACTGAAACCTGAGTAATAAAATCATGGAGAAATTTAAAGAGCATAGAACTCAGGAAGATTCAGACTCAATTACCAGAAGATACATTATCGCAGACTTGTTAAATCGTATTGGACTTGCTTAATTTTCTTTGCAGTGAGTTCAGGTTAAAATGGCTTGAGTAGCATCATTCCACTCTCCAAACTTCTCAAGCTGCATCCAGCAGTTTGTTCCTTTAGTCTTAGCTCACCATCTTTTGCCTTCTTCAAGGCTAATTGTTCTCTCTGTACACAATGGTATTGTTGTTTACAGATAAATCACTGGCTTTCTTCTCACTCTAGACATCCCTCCTTTATTGGAGATAGCAGTCACACCATTTCCTCACCTCTCTCTTCAGATTTATCATCTTATGTCTTCAAACACCCTTATTGCCTTGATAATTTCACATTTCTTAATCTCTTCTGTTCTGAGTGGCAGAGTACTGCAAGAGTAAATAAGGATAGGCAAACTGGGAGGGTTGTATTTCTGCTGGAAGGCCTAGTGTGCCATAAAGGAAGATGTATGTACTCCAATTATATATTCTAAAGCATTGTTATCCCCTTTTTATTCCTTGGACTTCTGTATTTTAAGTCAGAATACTGATGGCCATCAGGAACCTTTTAATCCTTTGTAGGCAAATTTCATGCTATATCTTTTCTTTAGGCTCAGGGCACTAATCTAATATACTGTCTGTGCTTCTTCAAGATGATTAACAGATATGTAAAATGCAGCGTCAAATTCCAGCCTCTGACTTCCTAGTATTGTTCAGCTGACTGTCTTCCTTTGGGTAATGGCACTTCACAGCAGTGGCATTATGTTTTCATATGTAAATACCTCATTGACCGTGGTTTGAGTTGGATGCAGTTGCAGTAACCATTGAATCCTACGTTTCCAGCCTGACTCAGAGCACAGAGTGCTGCGAGTGCACAGGGATGTACCTGCAGCACCTGATAACAAAAGTCACAGAAATAAACTACCTCTAATTTTGCAATCATGCTGCTGTTACTGTGAGCAGTAATAAAGCAACTTCCCTCTGGAAAAGAGGGGAAAAATGTCAGGGTGTTACGCAATGATTCATAGAACTGTTTATACAGATTTATTCAGTCTTTTTTTTTTTAAGAAATGTGAAGTGACATTGCTAACCTCTGAATGTTTAGATAAGGTTTCTTTTCTGAACACAAACACTTTTTTTAAATATACTGAATGTATTTTTAAAACAATGAATAATTCTTTACTCAGTGGTCTTTGTGTTATGTAAGGTTTTCAGGCAGGAGACAGTGACAGGGCATTGCTGCTGCACAGTGCAAGTCACAAACACGGGAAGTTGTCAGATTAATGACATTTTCCTATCCAAAATTTGGGTACCAAGTAAAGAACATGGAATTTCAACATGATAATTAAACAGCATATTAATAGATTTGAATACAATAGAAGTGTACTTGAAAAATTAATGTAGGGCTTAGGGAACAAAGAATGTTTAAACAAATACAGGTGTCTTTGCAATTCACTGCCCTACTGGCCCACTGTTGTTATATCTGGATTAGCCCAGAGTTGCTAAAGGACGTGAGATGGCAAGGAAAGAGCAACTTTCCTTGGAGTTTAACTTGCCCTCGGCTGCACTTCACTTGGTACTTTTCTTCTCCTTCAAGTTGTCTCAGCTGCTGATTTTTTTTTCCCTGCAGCTTTTTGACAAAGGAAAAGAGTCTGACCAATTTAGCTGGAAAATTTTGATAGTTCTCCTCACATCTCTCATTTTTAGGGGACTCCTCTGCATTATCAGAGCTTTGAGGCAAACAGGGCCATGCAACGCCCTGTTTCACAGGTGACTGCAGCAGTTAT